TATATATATACATATATATACATATATATACATACACACACACACCACGTAGGTCGAAATAGGATAGAAAATTACTTATAAAATAAGATCAGGGATAATAGAACCTTAGTGTAATATAAATGTGTATCTGAGATTTTGAGCATAGGTTGAGCGGGTACATGTGCATTATCTCCCCTATTTAATACATAATGTTGTTGTTTATGAAAGGTTCCTATTACATATTATTTCTAAATTTTATATTTTCGTAAAAAAATATTTTGATAATAGATAAAATTAAAAACTAACGCAAAATAACGACATAAATGTGGGTTGATAAAATATGGGCCGGGTACCACTTTGGTAGTTTGGGCTCAGATATATATTCAACTAAGAGTATGTATTTGATAAACTGTACATGTATCTAAGTTAAAATTATACGATCATTATAAATTTCACAGATATCTTTGTTCCCAAATATCTCAATTACATAGTGATATGGCTTTTGTTGAACTAGAAGCTCGAAATTATAACAAATTATATCATAAATATTCAAAACATTTTTGAGTTATTAAATTTTTAATAGTTGTGATATATATCATAAATATTCAAAACTGACATTTCCATATCCAATTTGAACGGCCTAAACATCCACAAGTGCAATCAACCATTTATTACAAGAAAATAAAATTTGAACTTGAGATTAAATTAACAACCATTTATTTATTAAAAGAAAATAAGGTTTGCAATTGACTATCCCCTTGCAAATTTATTTGAACATCAAATATATAGTACTATATCTCTTTCAATAAGAATCACTTTTTTGAACAAAGCACCTTTTGAGCAAAAGTTGGCAAAGCAAATGCAGCAGTATGAACCTATAAATCAATTAAAAAAAAAAAAAGGATTATTAGAAGACTATGTATACATCTTAAAATGACAAAATTTTACTATCGCCTTTTCAAAAAAGAACGATCTCCTTTTCTTTTTAATTTATTTAAAAATGAAGTTCGACGTTTTTCTTTTTCAGTTTTTCACGTGACATGTTTAAGACCACAAGATTAAAGGGTACTCTTGTAAATTTGACATAACTTTAATTTAAGAATACTAGATTCAAAACTACTTTTTATTTTCTTAAACTCTGTATCAAGTCAAATTAGATCATTTTTTAAAAACAAATAGAGTAATTTAATAGACAAAAAAAAAAAAAGAGTACCTCTGAGTTATAATACTTCAAAGGGGATTCAGATTTTGCAGAGATGATATGTACATCAACTTTGTTTACAGGATTCTTGAAATCAACTGGAGGCCCCTCAGTAGAGCAAATAACAAAACCAATAGCCCCACTGCAAATATTATATATTAGAATTATTGTTTGTATAACAACAAATCAATAATATATTCAGTGTATTTCTATAAAGTAGGGGTTGAGAAAAGTAAGATATACTCAAATTTTATCTCTGTTCTTATGAAATTCACAAAAGTGACAGAAATTTCATTTTTAAGTTCAGTTATTGTTATTATTATCACCCATTAGTTTTACGAATTTCCAGAATTCCTTACTTTTTTAATGTATGTGAGTTGCATATTAATATGTTCAATCTACATATTAATATATTTAAGCTAGTATTTAATGTATTATGTAGCAGAGCTAGTTTTTAATATATCTGAGCTACATATTGATGTATTTGAGACAGTATTTAATGTATTCGAACTTCATATTAATGTATCCGAGCTTTAATTATGTATCTGTGTTTTTAAATTTTTGAGGAATTTCTGTATTTATAAACTTTTAGGGGAAATTTTTAATTTTACCTTAAAGGTATGTGATTTCTATTATCTGCCCTAGAACATTTATTTTCTATAGACCCTCGATTCAAAAGAAAAAAGGAATTTGAAGCACGATTATAACGAAATAAATGAGCAAAAAAATACAAAGTAAATTGAGCAGTAAATAGTATTCTCTCTTTTTCAATTTATATGATTTACTTTCCTTTTTAGTATGTTCAAAAAAAATTATACGTTTCTATATTAAGTAACAATTTAACTTTAAAATGCTCATTTTGTCCTTGATGAAATGATTTACAGTCACGCAATTATCTATCACTTATTTTAGACCACAAATTTCAAAAATCTTTCTTTCTTTGTTTAACTTTGATCGAGTCAAACTAACTCACATAAAATGAGACGAAGAGAGTAATAAACACTGAGTAACAAAAAAATGTGATTTCTTAATACGATTACGAATAAGGAAGCTAGCCTCGTGTCTTTCCTACATAAAATGTTACAACTCTCGACCACCCATAAAATTTCTATCCAAATTCTTAACATGCGTATCTTCTTATCTAGGGTCATGTTTCCGGTAAGCTTTAGCTCACATATACCTTTCCTAACTTCTGCAATATTCAGTCTTGCACACCTCCTCTTCACATGTTTCGTATAACTTCATTTCTGATCATATCTCGCCTAATATGTTCATACATCCATTTAAGCATCCTCTTCTCTACTACATTCGTTTTCTAAATGTGGATACGCATAGTTGATCACACAATTCAATAATAATAAACATAATAATAATAATAGGGAAGGAGAAAAGATTGCCTTAGGTATGAAGGAACATTAGTCCATCCATAATTGACAGAGCCTTTGAAGAATATGTTGCAATCTTCAACAAGTTTTTGAATAATATCCAAGAAAATCCATGCACTTTCACCTTGAGTTGAGTAAACTCCTCCTGGCCTTAAGGCTTTTGAAACTGCCTCAAAAAAAGGCTTTTCAAAGAAAAACTTTGATGATCCTACACATGATTTCATATATTTTTATCAGTTCGCATAAAAAAATTAAAGACCAACACAAAATACGTAGCATAAAGCATGTCCCTTCCATTTCTAATTTTATTAATTATATACAAAACATTAGTACTACTTAATTACCGATAGGATCAGAAGAATCTACGATAATTGCATCATATGTTCCTGGAGCTGTGTTCTTCACAAATGCATTTCCTACAACATTGACAAATGTATCAAAAAGTTAATATATATATATTGTTCATCCTAAATATTGTATTAATTAATTCTAATTAAATTATATGTGTGGAGTATTACCATCTTCTACATAAAGTGTTGCACGTGGATCATCGTATCCCTTAGCTATGTCAGGAAAATATTTCCTTGAAGCCTATAGTTAATTGAAAAATAATAAGTATAAATAAATTTCATATACTTAGGGGTCGGGTAATCTACATATTATTGTAAAAGTTTTTTCAATAATAGAAATCGCAGATTTTTTTATTGCTTTTGAATACATTTTTTGACGGTCTAATACATTATTTAATGAGAGGAACATAAAAAGAGTCCGGAGTCTAAAAGGTGAAAAAATGTTAATAAAAATTTCAAAACGGTATATGAATTTTTATTTTAACCAAAACCGCAAAATCGCTCACGCTGAAAAAAGCAAAATCGCTGCAATAGCAGCGATTTGCAAAATTGATTTTTTTTAAAAAAAATTGTTTTTTTAAAGGAAGCGATTTCCAAATTAATTTTTTTCATTGTTTTTTAGTAAGTCGCTGCTTTGGCAGCGATTTAAGCTTAATTTTTTTACTTTTATTTTTTAAATTTTCTATATTTTTTTAAAAAAAATTACTAACTAAAGTTAAACTAAATTTAATGAAATGCCACGGTTACACCCGTAAAATTATAATGATCAAGTCACAAGTCTTTAAATTTAGTTAGTACTTTCTAATTTTCTTTTTTTAGAAAATAGCAAATTAAAAAAAAAACTAAGCTCAAATCGCTGCCAAAGCTTCGATTTACTAGAAAAAAATTACTTTGGATTTTTTAAAAGAAAAATCCAATTTATAGCAGCGATTTTTCTTTTTTCAGCAGTCAAAATCGATTTTTTCGTGAGCGATTTTGTCGTTTTGATTAAAATAAAAATTTATATACTATTTTAAAATTTTTATAACATTTTTCACCCCGTAGACTCCAGACTCAACATAAAAATACTTACATTAACCACCATGTCATCAATTTCGACCAAATCAACTTTTTCAACGGATGGATAACGTAAAACTTCTCTTAAAGTAAATCCCATTCCTCCTCCAATAATCAAAACCTAAAATATATCAATCAAAAATATATATAAGATATGAACGATGAAAGAATTAATAAAGTTGGTTAGAATAGTTCATGTATTCAAATTTAATCGAACTTTAATATAGATATCAGATAAGAAATTAATTTATTTTTTTTTACCTTTTTGGGGTTATGAATAGAAGCAAGTGGGAGATGGACAATCATTTCAACATAAGAACATACATCTCTCTCTGTATGTTGAATTATCCCATCCAGAACTATAACTTTTCCATAAGTTAATGACTGTCACGATAATATTTAATTAATTCATGAATAATTAATTAATTACATAATTAAATTAATGGTAAAAAGTAGTACCTCAAAGATCATAATATCTTGGTACTTTGACTTTCCCTTGAATAATATCTTTTCTATCTTAATTGACATGATTTCTCCAGGTACTAACAATTTTTTTATTCACCCATTGCAAAAATCAATTATCCATCATTTAGTTAAAATAAATAAACAAATATTTCATCACAAAAGAAATATTCTCGGTAGTTTGAGGTATGTCATTGATATTATTCTTAACGATATTTCATCTGATTGATATAGTTTCATTTGTTATGAATATTTTTATTTGTCCAATCCGCTTGCTATTTGTAGAATCCGCTTGTCAATATACAAACAAATAAGTATATACAAGTGATGTATCTATACATTGAGGAATTTTTCAAAACTTATACAGATCAAATGTAACAACTAGATAATTATATACAAGCTAAGATGAAAAAAATACAAATTTTGAGTTTATACAATTATAATTAGGAGTCAAATCATACAAATACTGGACATGAACTATGTAATTACGATTGTATGTTAGTGACGAATGATAATCTAATTAAATCATAACTATGTTAACTAATTAATTAACAAATATATATTTACTTATTCATAGTATTGTTTTTTCGAATGTAATAATATATATCTGATAAAATAATCGAGATCGATAGAATGCTGACCAGGAAAGAGATCACTAACATCTGAATACCATCCAGGAATAATTGAAAGGCATTCCATTTCTTTGCCATTGCCATAATCAACACTCACAACACATTCCTCTTCCATTATCTTTTTTTTTTTAATTTTTTTTTTTATGTTTCTAAAACTAAGATTTTGCACTCTAATATATACACATGTTTCTCATAATATTTTAATTTATTATTAATCTTATTATATAAGAGGGAGTTGCAGTGTCAATAACTATATAGCTATTCATCAACCTTCTTGAATATTTTGGAATTATAAATTCTTTCTTGCTGAGCTGTATTGTATTGTTTAGATTAGAGGGCGTGTAACACGACCTATTGTTTGAGGTCCATTGGCCCTTTTTTTTTTACGGTTGGTTGAAGACTTATTGAAAATATATCATTTAAATATAGGCATAATGTATAAGTATTTCTTATATTATGATTAAAATTACAGAGACGATACACTTAAATTTAACTAGGGTTTTATTATCCCTTAAAGTAATATAAAATGAAATAAATACACCATAAATGCTAACATGACATAGAAAGTGTGCATACTTTCTTGAAGACAAGTAATAAGTGCACAAATTGGAAACATTAATTACTAAAACGTATACATATTTACTTTTTTTAATTTCCTTCTTTGTAAAATGTTTATTTTAATCTTTTCACTTTAATTTTTTTAAAATTAATTTATTATCTTTTCACTTGTAATTAATTTTAATAAATTATGTGTATTTTGAAAAGAAATTATATAAAAGTATTCTTTAACTTTTTTTAATGTTTTGTTTGATTTTCTTCATTTATTTTGGTATTTGTTTATAATCAGCTTATTTTATATATTTGAAATCAAATCCAAACGAAAAACAAAGAAAACAAAAACAATTAAAAAAATGGAAGAGAAAAAAAAATGAAGGTAAGTAAAAAAAAGTATTGATGATACAAGGTAAAAAATGTACATTAACTTAATTTAAATACGAGTAAAAAAACAAAAGTTTATTTAAAAAAATAAGAAAAATATTTTAATTTTTTTATAAAATTTTTAATTATATATATATATATATATAGCGAACGAGTGTGTACAGATACAATTAACTTGGATGGTTGGATGGTTGGATGTGTGACATCAACATAAAAATGCATAAAAATACTGGAAAAAAATAAGTTCAAGGAGTAAATCATTCATATCTTTGTTGAATGATTTACTTGCATAATGAATTATACAAAAATTTTACTATTTTCTCTATTTCAAATTATTTTTATATTTTTGAAAAACAATAGTCTCAAATTTTTTGTTAGTTTAGAAATTTCAGATAAAATACATTATTCTTTTTATATTTTAAAAGACATAATAAAATAATCAAAATTTCTCCTAATTAATATTTTCTTTAAGTATAGTGTAATAGATAAACACAATAAATAATTCAAAATGAATAAGAAAAATTACGTCATGGTTCTTTTTTTTAATTGAAGAAGAAGGAAAAAAAACTAAATCATGATATGTGCAATAATCTAATGCAAGATATTAATTAATATGATTGTTTATATAAGAGTGATAATAACCATGAAATCAAACTAAACATCAATTAATAACTATAGTTCTCGTACAATGTTACATTTCTGATAGATAATCATTCCCCACTTTATTACACATTATACATATTTTATTTTTTATTTCCAAGTAATCAATTGCATAGACATAAACTTCATGCACAACAAATCTTGGTACAATAATTATGCCATAAAATCATCATTTATTTGTTTAATCAAGATTCAATCAAATCCCTTGCAAAAGACGGCAAAATAAAAGCTGATTTATGAATCTGAAAAAGGAAAAAAGAAAAAGGGGTTATTGACAAATTAACAAAAATAAGACATAAAAATTAAAAAAAAAATTAAAAATTAAGGGGTTAGATGTGTAATTACATCAGAGTTATAGAACTTCAAAGGTCCCTTGGATTTGACATATTTGTCAATAGAGTTCACTGGATTCTTGAAATTAACTTCTGGTCCCTCCGTAGAGCAAAGCATGTAACCAATCACACCACTGAAAACCATATCGATTTAGAAGTCGTTTGATTATGAGGTATAAAGTATAATAATTTCAGAGAAAAATATATAATTATTTTTATTTTTTATTTAATTGAAAAGTAGGTAGTATCGTAATGTCCAAATATATTATTTCACTTACATAATTAAATAACTTATTTCTAACTAAACGTTCCCTAATAATTGTGGGAAATTATTTTATCTTTTTTCTAATATAGTCTATCTATATAGGACAATATATACTGATAATAATTAATTATATACTTCAATATATATTATATCTTAGTCAAAAATAATAAAGAAATACCCATTACAAATGGCTACAAGATTTCTGACTCTTGTTGTTTAATTTCTCCAATTATATTGAGTGTTTAATTTATACTTTTATTCTTCTTTTTTTTTAATTTTGTTAAAGAATGATAAAAGTTTCATATCGACGGTTAATGAGATGATACTTTTTATAAGACTTGAACAATCCTCCTATTTTTTTATCTAGCTTTTGGGGTGTGAGTTAGGCGTAAGACTTAATTTCATATATTTACATAAAGATATCTTATTCTTAATTTCTAACCTTTCGTCTAACATATTTAAATCATAATAAGAAAGAATATATATATACACATTTAGTCTAAGGATCGATTATATATAAGATTCTACGATATATAAAAATACGTACGTAGGGTAAGTAGGAACGGTAGTCCATGCATAATTGACAGAACCCTTAAAGACCTGTCGACAATTTGCAATAATTTTTTTAATTAGATGCATGTGAAGCCAAATACTTTCTGCCTGTGTACACACTACTCCTCCTGGCCTTAGGGCTTTTGCCACTGCTTCGAAAAATGGCCTTTCAAACAAGTCTTTTGCTGGACCTGTACATTTATAGTATGTACCACGCAGATCGTAAGTTTGATGTACTGACAGTATATATGATTTTTTAAGTCAAACTCAAATAATTTATGGCAAATTTGATATGATAACATGAAAAATAGAATAATTATTTGCTATTCAATCACAGACTACTACAACATCTATGCAACGTAATTTGTATACTGTCTTATCATATTTTACGAAGATATAGAAAAATTGTTTCTGATAGAACGTCTCTAGTCAAATAAAACATATCAAAAATCAAACAAGTAAAACAGATACAATAGTAAAGAAATCATGTTGAAAACAATCACTATGTATACGAAAACAACTATTTTTCAACTGAAGTTTCCCATTAAGAAAAACGTTCAGTGACTATTTTCACATATCTTTTGATTAAATCGTTGAGAAAAGAAAACTAAATAATATTTTCATACGAAAAAATTAGAAAGTTTTTCGCTATTTGAATGAGAATCTGTTTGCTATCATGCATTTTTTCAATATGTTGATAAGGTGAAAAATAAATGAAAAAAAATCATAATTTATAACACAATTTTTTCATTTATTTGCGGCGAAAAACACTTTTATATCTAATAGTCGATGAAGAAGAGAATACTAATAACCATAATTAATCTTACAACTACAGCAAATTAAATAAGAAATACTACTAAAAATCGAATCATAACAATGTAAATCAATTATTACTAAACGATATTTTGTTAATTAATCTTATAATTTATTTTTCTGTAAATAAATTACCAATAGGATCAGAAGAGTCAACAATAATTGCATCATAGTATCCAGGTTGAGCAGCTTTCACAAATGCAGCTCCTAATAAGATGAAGATAAAATTAAATTAAATAACATAGATGAAGAAATTAAAATAAAATCAAGATTGTTAATTAATTAAATTAATTAATTACCATCGCCAATAATAAGGCTGACTCTTGGATCATCAAATCCTGCTGCTAGGTATGGGAAAAACTTTCTAGATACCTATCAAAAAAAAGAAAAATATAAAAATTAAGAAAGTCATAATATTGTTTGTAAAATGATTATAAAAATTCACATTATAATAATATGGATTTAAAAATAAAAATTATTGTGCCTAGAAAATTTGATCAGAATGATAAAATAACATGTTTCACACTATGTTATTTTACCTTTTTAACTTTATTGCCTTTTAATTAAAAAATGAAAAAAAAATAATTTATTTTAAAATAAAAAATATATTATAGACTTTTTAAATATATGAACATTTAACATTAACCATAATTTAAATTAAACTTACGTCTACAACCACGTCATCGATCTCAACTATGTCTATTTTTTCAATACTTGGATAGCGAGAGACCTCAAACAACGTGAAACCAATCCCTCCACCGATGATTAACACCTGAAATACAAGTATTAGTGACTGCTTCTAAAATTGTAATCCTTAAACCCATACAGAAAAATAATTTTATCGTTGATCTTAAAAATGATTAGAAATAATTAATTAACCTTTTTAGGGGATGGAATGGAACCAAGTGGTAGATGAACAATCATCTCAGTGTAGGGAAATCCACCATTCTCTGTGTGTTGAATTGCCCCATCCAATGTTAATACCTTCCCATACGTTGCTGACTGTCCACATATATTTGCATGATGTTTATATCAAATCGATACAATTTATTATAATAAAGTATACATAATACATGCATTAACCGATCATGGTTAATGTAATAGTTATGTATTATCATTATTCATTATACAAGTGATATATATTTATTTGATGTAAATATATTTACCTCAAAGAGCATAACATCTTGATAATCAGACTTTCCTTGGAATAGTAATTTTTCAATTTTAAGTGAAAATGCTTCACCTGCATATAATTTGATTATACTATAATGGATAAAATTATCAAAAGTAAAACGAACAAATTAAAATTGATAAAATAACAAAGAAGAGTAATATTTGAGCAAATGTTATTATATCAGAGTACTATATATTATGCTGATAGTACAAGATTTCTAATGCTATATTTCAATTAAATGGCAGATCAGTACATATACATTACGTGCACGGATGGAATATAATAAATAAGTGTTTTTGAAAATAAATTGACCGTGTAATTTTCTTATCACCAAAAGAGAAGTTAATATATAATATATAAACACAAACAAATTAATTAAGTTATAAAATGGAGCAAATAACCTACTATTCCTATATTAAAAATGATCATTAGCGATAGTTAAATTAATCACTGTTAAATATATATTTTTAGCGGCAATTAACACTGTTTTTATATGTTCCTAAAGCCTTTAGCGACACTGATTCTAATGATACTTAACTAATATAGATAAAAACTTAACACTCTTTATTAATATCATTATTAATGCCGCTAAAAATTATTTTTATTATAGTGTACAATATTGGGTTAAAATTTACATTGATAGTATAAAATAATTAAAAAGATATATATAACTTAAACTCTAAATGATATTACAAGTAATGAAAGTGTAAATTTAATTAATAACACAAAAATAAAACAGGTTACCTGATATAACATATATATAAAATTTACATATAATTATGTAATAAAAATTAGATGGTTATTAGTGTGTCTGGAATGGAGCTAGCAGTCTATACGAGTTCAACAAAAGTAGATTTTAGAGCCTGTTTGGCGCAGCTTAAAAGCTGGTTAAACTGACTTAAAAGCTGGTTTTTGACTTATTTAATTATTTGGCAATACTCAAAATAACTTATTTTAAGTTAAAAATAACTTATTTTAAGCCAAAAATTAAAAGTTGGTGTAAGGGTGTTTTTTTTTTAGCTTATAAGCTGTTTTAAGTTAATCAAATTTTTATCTTTTTACTCTTAATATTTTTATACCAATCTCCAAATTACCCATATAACCCTAACATTTCTTTCTTCCATTTTTCCTTTTTCACGTTTGACATAACAACTTCAGCATTTTTATCCAAACGCATAACTGCTTATTTTAAAAATAAGTTTCAGCACTTTTAAAAGTACTTTTTTAAAAGCTACTTTTATTAAGCCCATCCAAACGGGCCCTTAATATTGATTAAAAATGAAAATTTAGAATTCATAAACTCAAAATGTTAATATAATTTTAAGACGACTAACCTGGCCAGAGTGCGCTGAACTCAGAAAACCAACCCGGTTTGATAGAGTTAGTGAACTCTACAAGCTTATTTTCATTGTTATGGGTGTGGGAGTTGCCATTAACATTGCCATTGCCATTGCAAATGCTACCATTTTTGTGAATAATTTTGGTGTTGGTGTTGATGGTGCCATTGTTGTGATTGTTCATTATGACCTCCATTATTCAAATTAAAATAAGAGATTATATTTGATGAAATTATATTTTGAAAGGCTTCTTCACTTTTTTGCCTGTTTATTACCTTAGCATTGCATGCATATTTATAGTGAAGGTTTTTTAGATTTATTATAAACTTACTATTGTTGTGCCCTTGCCATTTTGGAATTACCCGCCAGACTCTTTATTTTATTTTATGTGATATTGTTATTATATGAAAAGTTAAAATAATATTTTAAAGTACAAAATCTTTTAAATTTTTAAATTGTTAATTATTATAGTTGTAATATCTTTTAATGTAGCTTTTAAATATGCAAATTTAATTTTAATTTTTTTTTTAAGAATCTATATCTAAATCCTCATAGAAAAATTAGATAGTTTGACAATCATACTTTGAACAATGTCGTTCAAAATGTAACGAAGTGAGTATATATTTTCATTAGCGGTTCAATTTGTGGAGGAACCAATATTTTCACGAGAAAAAATTTAAAATGTTAAAAAACACAAGTATATGTATAGTCATATAAATTCAATTTGTTTTAAAATAAGTCTCATTTTAGCAAGGAATTAAATGTTGTCTCAAAATTAAAGACTAAAATTAGTATGATTTTTTCAACTATATCTTCATATTAAATACCTTTTTTTTTTAATAATACTCAATTTTAGAAAATATTTAACAAATAAGCGTAACTTAGTAAATTATATTTTTGTAATGAGTTAAATTGACATTTATTTCGAAACAATAAGAGATTTTTTTGGTGGAGATATGTCAATTAACATATGATTCGACGCCTTATAAGTGCAATGATTGATGATAATATGTTATTTAAATGAAAGCTTATTATGGACGGTTCGTGGAGGTTTACTTATTATTATATTATATACGAAGGATAATACGTAAGTACCTCTTAATTTATATTCGAAATTTTAGAAATATATTTAGACTTATTAAGGTATTATTATCCTTTGAATTTATTTTATTAATAATTTTTTATTTCATTTTGATCTACATGGTACTATTTTGTGGGCCAAACGCTGGTTGATTTTTTTCCTACAAGCTAGCGTCACGTAAACTAAAAAAAATATAAAATAAATTTAGAGATAATAAAATTTTAATATAGTATAAGTGTGTTTTTAAAATTTTAAACATAAATTAAAAGAATAGTCATACATTTTTCTTTTTATAATATAATAAAATCGTTGTTTACCCATTTGGGTTAGTAAATAATGGACCTACAAATCAACGTGAGATCGCACGTATATACTCCAAGTAGCTAATAATATTAATTTATTATTATAGGCACCTGTTTGTTTTCCAAGTTAATTATTTGATACTATATTATATATTATTTTACAAATTATTTCTCTCGAAAATTGAAATAAGATAATAAAAAAAATCCTTTTTAAAAAAATTTTAATCTGAAGAGCCCCATGTGAAATTCTGTTCTATCAACCTGTATGTTGAATTGAATCAATTATTAGTTAAAATAAATGGGTGAATTTACCACATTTAATTATCTTATCTTATTTAGTTTTTTTAAAAAAATTTTGTCACCTGAAAATATAAAATTAGTTAAGAAATTTATTGATAATATCTAATTATTTCATTGTTAAAATGCTTTTAGTTAATCAATTTTCTTTTAATATTTCGCCTCTAATATGTAGATAAATGGGATTAACATAAAAATTTTGTGGTTAGCCACAAAAATTTGTTTGTTGCTAAAACGCTCTTAGCTAATTGATATTTTACTTTTAAAATCAGTCGTTTAACTGATGAGATTTTTATTATTTAACTATAAAATTTTATTTATTGTTGAAATGTTTCAGCTAACTTATTAATTTTCCTTACGAATCACCGTAACACGTAGCTAAATGAGATTAACATGAAACATTTATTATTTAGCTACAAATTTCATCTATCATTAATTCCTTGATTTTTTTCATTTGTGCTCCGCACTAAGGAAAATGTGTTTTTACGAGAAAAAAAATAATTTGCAAAATATTATATATAATACACATTTAAAAAATATTATCTTCTGAAATTTTATACATAACTATATGATTAATCAACAAGTTAAATAGAATTCTTCTAGTACTTCTCAAATCGTTAAATTTCATTTGCAAAATTCAGGTAGTCGAAGCTTCTTTCAATTAGAAAATTAGTAACTCACATAAAATATGATTAAGTAAATTTTTTGCAAGAAATATTTTATGAAAGAAAATATAAATTAGGTGAACAAGTATCAGATAAAAGATACCCCTATAGAAGTATTTTATTAAGTTTTTATTTGATGTGTGGTATTTATATTGGAATACAATTCTTTTGCTCCACGTAGAATTTCATTCGGAGGAAAACACTCGCTATGAAGAATTTTTCAAAAGCTTTAACTCAATATATTTAATTAAGAAAAAAGTAACATTATCTACTTAGCACATCTTTTAACGATAATAATAGATATATAAATATCAATATTACACTAATTAAATATGCTCATGAGAGAAATTCTGAAATATATGAACATTCTTGTGATCCAAGTTTTTCAAATTTTACCAATTTTTAGCTCCAAATTATTTACTTTCTTTACCATTTTCATTTATAAGTTCTTTAACAAATATATTTAATTACTAATAAATGAACTTGATAAGTTAAATAGAAACACGTGTCTTTAATCAATAATACTAAATAAAAAATTACAAAAAGAGGAAGGAAATTAATTAACTAGCAGTATGGTGTCTTTCAATTATTTATTCCGTAGCTGCATCATTGGTTCTCATTGTATAACACGTTTTTTCTCTCATATTTATTTGATGGATTTTTAAAAAGTAAATAAATTACTCTTGATAAAAAATTATTTTTGTTAGAAAATATTTTATTCTAATATAAATATATTTAATTTTAATTAGATGTCAATATATAATATTGAACACCAAGGAAAATTTTTTAAAAGAAAATTAACTTAATTTGTTAAAATTTAAGATATTATTAAAACTGACATGCTTCAAAATTAAAAATAAAATTAATATATTTTCATTTTACTTTTAATGATTTTTTTAATAATTACAAATTTTATATCATATTTGAGGTCATAAGTCTTTTATAAAATAATAATAAATAAATTAGATATTAGGACAGGTTTGATATCATTTAAAATTTTCATCAATAGTTTTATTATTAAATCGACATAATACATAAACACGATCCTTAGGTTGACTTCAGCATATAAATATATCCTTCAACTTTGAGTGCGCACAAACACACTTAAACCTGTATAAAATTGAAATAGTAGACAGGTGTCCTATATGATATAATACACGTAGTATATCATGTCGGACACAAAATTATCACGCGTATGGTGTCATGTAAAACGAATACGTCTATTTACTCAATTTTACATAAGTTTAAGTATCTTTCTATTATGCATATCTAAAATTAAATATCATAATTATAATATCAACTAATATCAAATTATAAATCATATTTATATATTATGCATTCACGTAGATTGAAAATGGAGAAGTATTTTTAAACTACCAAATTGGAGGTCAGAATCAAGATTATATATATTTTATAAGTCTGAATAAAAACAAAAGGAAACCACATTAATTAAACATTGAAAATAATGTATTGCTCCATATATAATTGATTATATTATTGGTAGAGCCTTTTAAAATAAAATATTAATAGCTTAAAAGTATTACTTTCGCCGTCCATTTTAGTTTTCACATAACATTCTTTAAAAATTAATTTGATTAATTTTTAAAATTATATTAAATTATATTAATTTAATATTTTAAATAAAAATAAAAAATTAATGTGAAAAAATTATATGAAAAAACTTTAAATTATTATCTTTGTATATTAATATAATAAAAAATATATAATAAAATATTAATTAATATTTTTATCATTTGATTTTGAAAAAGTAAATTATAACGATAAAATATGAACGGAATAAATATTACTTCAGTAGGGGTCATGTATCGCCATGCGTCTGCTGGGATTTGATTAGGAGTAATTTACTTGTATCATAGTATTGAGACAAAACTAGTTTTATTCTATAATATATCACAATTTCACTAAATAACAAATAATTATAGGAAAACGACAATCACGTTGGTACCAATAATTGGTAAGTCGAATCACGTGTTTAAAATTATAAGATCAAATAGTATTTTGAAATATTGTACATATTTTAAAGAGAAAATGCATAAGTATTCTTTTAACCTATGTCCGAAATCACACACTTATACTATATTAAGGTCCTACTATTCTCCTGAACTTATTTTATAAGTAATTTTCTACTCCTTTTTGATTTACGTGGCACTAACTTAAAAAAAAGTCAATCAGCATTGGACCCCACAAGATAGTGCTAAGTAGGCCGAAAAGGGGTAGAAAATTATTAATAAAATAAGTTTGGGGATAACAGGATCTTTATATAGTATAAGTGTGCCTCTGAGATTTCAGACATAGATTGAGGGGTACTCACGTATTATCCCTATTTTCCATTCAAACTTCTGGAAAAAAAAATCTACTTTCATAAATTTTTGTATCAAATCCCAAAAGTACTTTTAATTTGAAACCAATAAATCAAGCACAAGCTATATGCATTATATTAAGGGAAAGGGGTTAAAAATACCCCTCAACTTTGTTTTATTGATTGATTATGCTCTCATCGTTAAATTAAAATTAATTTTACCCATGTGGTTATTAACTTCACCATTTATACTCTTGTGTGGACGGAAAGCTCCAAATTGACCAAAATTTTTCCAATTTTAATTAAAATTGCAAAGATCATTATATGGATTGAAGCAATCTGGACGCATGTGATATAACCGTCTTAGTGAGTATTTAATTAAGAAAGGTTATATAAATGGTGCAATTTGTTCATGTGTCTTTATAAAGAAAACAATATCGAAATTTGTTGTACTTGTTATTTATGTTGATGAGATAAATCTTATTGAACTCCAATAGAACTTCAAAAAACAATTGATTATTTAAAGAATGA